GTCTCGGTTGACAGAGCCTGGCTCTTTTTCAGATGTAGGCGGTGTCAGCTTTTCTCTTTGGTTTGCTATAACGTCTGCAATTCCTGTGTTGTCTGGAACTGGACTTAACCCCCAAACCTATTGCAGTGACGAAATCGATCACTTGAGCCCGATCGAAGGTGCTCACTGATGCTGTTGGCGTCATGTGTTTTCAGCATGATCCGCTGAGATTTGTGCACACAGATTGCTGTGGCTGTGGGCCCACACTGTGCCTTGCAGCACAATTAACATTCCCGGTTTATTGATTTGCTGATATGCTTGCGTTCCTCTTCTCTCTTTTTGACCACGGAGCGGTCACTTTGTAGGTGGTGAGGTGCCGACGATCGAGTATGACACGTCCCAGAGTTGGTCGCTGCTACGGCTAGCGAGCCAGCAGAACAGCAACACATTTCGGCCTGCGACGGTTCGACGGCCATCTGCTCGGCGGGCTATGAGGCTATGTGCTCCGAAGGGCACCCAGCCTGGCAGAGGCTTTCGCAGGCGTGACGTTGTCCCCTGCCCCCATCAGCACGCAAAGTTCGCCGCAAAGCAGTGTAGCGTTTGGCACTGTCAAAGCTCAAGCAGGCCAACCGCCCAGCTGCGCTCGGACGATGATCCTGCATCACACGCGCGGTGACGGCGGACTGCTGACCTACGTGCATCTGTTGGCCACTGCAGACCAGCTGTGCCGGGAATATAGTAGCGTTAGTAGTGGGCTTTCTTAATGGGTTGCTGTCTTGGAGGGTGGTCTCATGGTGCGTCTCGTCCTTCTCAGCAGTGCGATTGTAGATTTGTTCTTGAAGCGCCTCCATCGGCACGTTCAAAAGAACACTCTGGCGGGAAAAGTGCCGAGAGAGACTCCTTGAGCAATCTTGAAAGCCGACTCCTGCATGTTGGCAATGCTGTATGAAGGCTACAGAAGGGAGGCAGACTTGCACATGTGCGGAGATTTCTTTGGTGACGTACCCGTCGACTTGCACTCTTACATCGTTCGAAAATCAAAGGCCATCCTGGCCACCTGATTGCCACCTGATTTCCCAAGTCTTTCTGAAGACCTGACGCAGCAGCTAGGCATAGACCTCAACGGTGACAGAGTTGTTTGCTTTCGACACCCTATATAGAGTGTCCAGTCCAGGTAGCAACAATTGTGGGATCCCAAACCACCCCGTGAGCCCAGGCCAGAATGTGCAGCACACTGTCGCAGGAACACGCTAGCGCGCACAGCCGTGCGCCTCACATGCGGGAGCGCTAGCCCCACCCCAAAATGTGCGCAGGACTGCGTCGGAAGCACGATGTCCACCCTACTGGGTCCATGGGTTAAGTCGCATCGGCTTGTGTTTAGTCGCATCGATCGAGTGTGCAGTTGGGGATTCTGCTAAAACGTGTCAGTTCGCATCCTCGGACATGCTTGTAGACCTAATGATTCAGCCAGTGTGCAGCTGCTGTTTGCGATTCGAGTGGTACCGGTTGCTGGCCCAAAGTCTCGAGCGGTTGCCTGTGGAATCAAGCGTCTACATGGGGAAGGGCTGGGTTTGACGTGCTGTGATGTTATGGATGATCACAGTGAATACTTATGTGTGCCTCCACCGGTTGCTTGTGGAATCGAGCGTCCACATGGGGAATGACTGGTTTTGGTGTGCTGTGACGCCCTCGACATGTGTCCCGAGCGGGTGCTTCTGGAATCGAACGTCTACATGGGGAATGGCAAGTTTCTCGAGCGGTTGCCGGCCGAATCGCGCGCTCACATGGGGAATGGAACAGGTTTTGACAGCCGGTCGATAGGTAGGTGTAGGGTTGGAGGTCGCGCGGCGCTCGCGCGAGCTCGCGCGGGCGTCGCGCAGGCCTACTATCTATACCACAAGTCAGAACCCGAAAATCCCTGCAAAATACACTGTTGCAGTCCCCACTCGCGAACTAAACAAGCCCTGCGCAGGAGTTCCTCTGGCATGTTTCAATACTGCAAAATAAGCCCAAATACCTGCGGCACGCGCGCAGCTCACCTGTTTCGTTACATGTGTTGAAACCCACCTCCGGGCGGCGTCCACATGGGGTTTCGCTACTTCTGATGTGACTAAACGCGGGTGATGCGACTAAACGCGGATCGAGCGTCACCTTGGGGTGTTGTGACTAAACGCGCCCTGACGCGACTTAACCCCGCTACACGTAAAAGATACGCACGGAACGTTGTGTCGGGAGCTCGATTAACCGATGTCAAGGGGTGTACCCCAGACAATGAATGGCGCATCTCGGCGAAAAGCCGCGGAAATAACGATTTTATCAGATTATTGTCTTCCCTTCGATCGCGGGCGGCTCACAAGGCGAGAACCCCATGGTGGACCATAATGTTACCACACTGTTCGGGTTTGGGTTTGGGTTTGACTTGCATGAACCCATGCAGCCGTTTGTGGTCAATACACAGGGCCCTTGAAACAAGACCTCTCTCGATGTGCAGCGTTTTCTTCGCCATTGTTTGGCATCCTGTCCTCCGATTCTTGGCATGCTCCTTCTGAGAGCAATGAATAAACTTGCAGTGACAACTCAGCATATGCAACAGTTGCAAGCCAAGAAAAACCTTATCACTCGTGTGTACGGTACTTGTCAAGTCCACGGCGCGGATGTCCATGAGCGATGGCTCAACACAAGACGGTGGCCGGAGAACCAAGGAGGACAGAAGTGCCAATGATCCACAGTGCGCACAAGCATGTTCCAAAAGTTGTGCTCCTCCCAGCAACCCCACTGCAAGTGCAAGCTACTCAGGTTCAACAATAGGAATCCTGAACAACGCATCGTCCCAGGTCGTACATGTAAATATGAAGTATAAGGCATGCTCCGTTCTCAATGCCCAGGGCTTCTGGCGGGGGAACGTTTAAGATCCAGTGTGGTTCTCCATGTTTTGCTTTGCCATGCTTTGACCATCTGTCTTGCCTCGATCTCTCTCTCTCTCTCTCTCTCTCTCTCTCTCTCTCTCTCCTGCAGCAGACTGTGCCTAAGGCTCGCAAGCTGACCTCAACGCTGCAACCTGAACCCCTTTATAAAGCCGACTTCCCTGGAGTCGGCCTGAGACCTGCGTGTGACTCTATGGATGGCGGTGTTTACAGTGCTGTTTACAGTTCGCAAAAGATGAACAAGACCGTTATCGCTACTTGCGCACTCGTGTGGAACAAGTTTCTGTAGCGATGGCTAGTGGTTCCAGAATCCACTTGCCTTCGGGATTAGTTGCTCAGGGTTGCCTCCAGGCTTCAGGGTCCGCGGTTCAGCTCTGCATGATGATGGTGAAAATGATCAGGAGAAGCTACCACCTTCACTTCTCACATCTTCGCGGTCGCTGTTCGACACCGCAAGGAGAAGAGAAGCGGCCACGACATGTCGGAGCCTTGGGAGTTTCAGGGTTCAACTCTAGAGGCCCAGGCGCTGGGACGAGACTCTGCCATGGCCGGACTTCTGGATTTCTGCTTCTACATGTTCTTCTGGTGAAACAGTCTAGCGGCGTCTAGCGCCTTAGCATGCCAAGATATACGTGTAAACCATTATGAACTTGCCCGATATAGCAACAGCACCAAGCATTCTGAACCCTACAGGGAGTGCTGGACAGGTTGGGACTTCGTTATCCTCGCCGATATAACTGGTGTTTTGATCATGGAAAGGAACAGAAGTACAGCATAGTCCACATGTCAATTGACTTGACTGAACTCAACGCCATGCTCTTTGCATCTTCGAAAGCATCGACATGCCGTCTCCAAGCCTGAAGTGTGACAGCGCATCTTGTGCCAGAGGCATCTCTGATACACTACCAGCAGAAGAACTGCACACAGGCCCGGCTTAGCGGCGAAACTGTTGCATTTGGGAGTTCGGTGCCACGGATCATCACTGATCACCATGGGGAGCATCAACTTTGTGGGCCGAAGCTTCTCTGATATCCTCCTGTCATCATCACCATGCTCATCATCAGCATCCCGGCACTTGCCACTGCCTCTTTCCCTCCTCGTCCTCCTCTTCGTCATCATGATAGAATCATACCGTACGCATCGTCGTCCTTCTGCTCAGAGTCATGCTCATTCTGCTGGGGGCCTGGTCCATGTAAGATTTTGCCTAAGGCAGTTTGTGCGTGATTCTAGTCGGGCCGGTGGCCGGTCCTCCCAGTCCGAGGGCCTCGCCCACTTGCACAGTGATCCTTGATTCCCTCAGAGCCCTCACGCTTTGATCTCCAAGGTCATGATTTAGAACTCTGGGATCTCGTCCCAAGACCCTCGGTCGCAAGCAAGCAGTTAGATATTTGGGTAGAGCATGACAGTTTCTCATCCAGTCCAAGGGCGTGATAACCCAACTATGATTTCCGGAGAGCTCTTGCCGGAGCCGACCAGCTTTTCAGAGAGGGACAGTTTCGGGCATCATTGACTGACTGAGGATCTGGAGGTCGGAGAGTCAGAGCAAAGCGTTGCATCAAGCCCATCACCACATCGAACAGCTGATTACAGAGGGAGCGGTTCAAAAATCAAGATTCTCTGAAACGTGCAAGCAGGAATCTCAGCAACCAGCAGTTGCCATGACTTCTTCACTCATCCTCGCGGATGGTCTGTCGAACATGCTCCACCTAGATTACATCTCAGAGGCGCGAAGTCGGCGACTGAAGCATTGATTTGGGGTGAGTTTCTTGAGTCGCTCGCCCGATGCCACAGCCAGCATGGCTTTGAAGCTATTTAGTCAGCTACTTCGTTAATATGGAGAGGGAGAGAGCGCTGCTGTAAAGCAATGTAGAAAACGAGTTCACTTCGGGACACAGCACCGGTTCCAAAGATCCACAAGAGAGTCCCGAGTGTAAGTCCGCAATCGCACGCTCTTCTGAACCACTTTAAGCCCCTCGTCAGACTCTGTGCTGCAAAAGCCCGAGAATTAATGACATTTTACCCAACTGGGCCCTCAGTGCGAAAAGCAGCAATGCCCTCAGCCCCTTGTGCCGAGGCTTCATCGACCTCACAGACTATATGGACCAGCGCCTCAAAGACGTTGGCCACGACGTCTCGAAGGTCCAGGAGCTCCTACTGTAGTACGTAGACAAACTTGGTGGATTTTTGGGGATTCAGGGATGCCGGCCGCCATAAAATGCCGCTGTCTAGGCGATGCAGTAGTTCTATGGGGTTCCTCTCGTGGTGAGACATTCAGTTGATGGGCGTGCGGATTTGGGTGATGAGGGTTTTGCGGCTTGGAACTTGGACTTGTGGAGGCTTCAGGGTACGATGAGCGGGAGGGTTGCCTTGCATTATTTACTCCTTCAGCCTTCTGAGTCGAGCCTACATGGACATGTTCGACCTCCAGCAGGTCCCAGCCCGATGATGGGCTGTTTCTACTGGATCAGTAGATCAGTATGTACCGAGGCTCAGCAACTCTGAGATTTCCCGCTGCGTGTACTTTGTTTGGAACCCGTAAGGTGCTGTCCACCGTTATGCTTGTCTGACGGGGGCGATTGCTGCTCTTCATTCTTGGTGGTGACGACGCTGGTGCTGATCCTGGTTTCGGTGGTGGTGCGGATATGTTGTTGGTGTTGCTGCCGCCGCGGCTGCTGCTGGTGGTGGTGGTGGTAGTCTTTGTTTCCAGTGTTGATGTCGGTGTTGTGGTTGTTGTGGTTGTGGTTGTTGTTGTTGTTGTTGTTGTGGTTGTTGTTGTGATAGCCGCTATGGATCACAGCAGGCTGTGTAGCTTTGCTAACAAGGCTCTGGGTACCAACGCTAGAGGCTCGCAACGGGCCTCTTCTGCGAAGCTTAAGGGACTGTCCTCTTACTGAGCCATAGCTATTCCCGGAGCCGCGTGTCACTGTGATCTACCGGGTCCCAATTCCCGGGCCTCTGTCTGCAGTTATACAACCTTGGCATGAGGTAAGCGGTAGTGGTTTTCACCTTTTCCGCAGGGTGAAGGGAGTCGGATTGAGTTCTCTCTCTCCGGCGAAACTAGCGGACGGCGCAATCGCCAATGCACCAGCATTCATATGAGAGCATTCGCAAGAAGGCCTTTCGCAAGGCTTGCAATAGGGTCCATCGAACGCAAGAAAGCATTCAGTACCGGAATGGTACATTGACGCCTGAACATCTGCGTCGCAGTGGCCTCACCCCCCCCTCCCCTCCCCCCCTCCCAGTGCAGCCTAGCTCCACGATTTCTCCTTCAGGTCCTTCAGGTATCTCAGCAAGTTTCCGCTCGCGCCCGAGAGGCGGCCGTGCCAGCAGGTCTCTCCGTGTCCTATCCTGGAATGCAGGGCACCTTGGCATGCAACAATGGGCAGAAGTTAAGACATGGCTACGCACGGAGGCCAAGTCGGTCTGTGATATTCTTGTCCTTCAGGAAACCCACTGGAGTGAGACAGCAGAATTTGATGTCGAAGGATGGCACTGTGTCAGCTCCGCCACGAAAGGAGCCGCCCGAGCACCTAAAGGCAAAGCCACCCCAGGGCAACGCCCCAAACAAGGTGCTGCCATGCAGCCAGCCGTTCACGACACAAGCCGAGCGGACGGCGTCATGGTTCTTCTTTCTCCGCAGATAGACAAGAAGAAGATCAGATGGCGCGAACAACGCCGGGGACGGCTCCTTCAGGTCATCTTCCCATGGCTTGGGGCTCGTGTGCATGTACTAGCGGTTTACCAGCATGCCTGGTCTTCTAAGAAGACTCCACAGCAGAACAAGGATGACCGCTCACACCTGCTCCGAGGTTTGTCGGCTGCCATACGGGCCATTCCAGTGCGAGATACTTTTCTCCTAGCAGGAGACTTTAATGCTAGACTGACTCCGCAGGAGGGTCTGGTAGGTCAGTGCAGCACCAAGCCAGAGCACACCCAGATGCAGGATGAATCGTTCCAGGCCTTAGTCTCCTCTCATCGGTTGGTAGCTCTTAACACATGGTCAAGCGGTGCAGGACACACTTTTTTCTTGAATGGTCAGGGATCGCAGATTGATTTCCTGCTCACTTCAGAGGCCTCGGCCAAGGGCCTGGCAAAGCAGTCTCGGCCGTGCAAGGATCTTCAGCTCGGCAAATGGAAGCGAGGCGGCCACCTTCCAGTCTTGGCTCAACTCCGACCCACCCAGCACTGGAATCTGCCTAAGTCTGCTTGTCCTTCCTTGACCTTTCATAAAGAAGCTCTAGAGACGGCTGTCCGTTCAGGACTACCAATCGCCAGTCGCATGCAGGACTGGGTGAGCCAGCGTCTGTCCCCTAGGACTCACACTCCTGATGAGGTCAATCAGGTACTGCTGGAGGCTTCTGAACTGTTTTTCCCAAAACCACGGCCTCAACAAGCTCCTGAAACTGCTCAACACCGTGCGACGCTGCGGATGTGGAGTCGTGTCGCTCATATTCGTTCCTTGCATGAGGACTCCGTAACCACCCTATCAGACCTGGATCAGTCCTTGGAGGACCTGAATCGATGGCACAAGCAGGCTCTCTACTTGGCCAAGAAGGAACGACACCGAGCTTTTCAGGCTGAGGTTGACGAGGCGTGCGCCAGGCACGATTCTTACATCGCGCACAAGACCCTTAAGAAGCTCCGACCTTGGGAGCCCCAAACTAAGGCACAGCTTCAGAGCCCAGACGGTCTGCTCCTGGACTCATCCTCTGAGCTTCGCCTGCTTAGAGACCACGTGGAACAGGTCTTTGCCAGACATCCGCCTCTTGATCACCAGGTAGCTTCGCTACCTGAAATCCCGGCTGGTCTGCTGGCCCAACACATCGGCTCGATAAGACCGCACAAGGCGGTGCCGCAGAGCTCTGCTCCGGCGGCTGCCTGGAGGCTCTGCTCGGCGGCTGCTGGAGAGGCGTTAGCAGCAACGCTGCAAGCTCGGGGGCAACGCCCACTGCCGGCTGCTGAAATACTTCAGCCGCCCCTAAAGGATGCTGACTTGTGTTTTATCCCAAAGCCTAACAAGCCGGCCACCAAACCTGGCAATCTACGTCCCCTAGGTATCATTCGACCAGACGGCAAGGGCCTGGCGGGGGCCTGCAGAGATCAGCTGTCTCCCTACACGGCTGACTATCTTCGGGGTCTTCCTCAAATTGCCTACCAGCCGAATCGCGGTCTCTCTGATGCCTTGAGCAGGGTCGTTGGCCATGTCACTCAGGTACGCAATGACTGCCAGGAGGCCAGACGAACCAGGCATCAACTACACTCTGGGCAAGCTCGTCCCCAGTTAGTAGGTGGCATCTGCTTCGCATTGGACCTGTCACAAGCCTTCGACATGGTGAGCAGGACAGACTTGCTTAGCACGCTGCAGGACGCGGGAGTCCCGCAGGACCTCATTGACCTAGTTGCCTCATTGCATGCTGGCAGTGCCTACACGTTTCGCACGCAGGGCGAAGAGGACACGGTCCAGTCAACGGCGGGCATTAAACAGGGGTGTAAGCTTGCCCCCACTCTTTTTTCCATGCTTACGGGCACCATTTTCCGGGAGCTCATAGCTCTTGTTGGAGTCAGAGCGGTAGTGGACTACCTCACGGGCTATGCGGATGACCTCACGGTTCATCGCGACATCCACTCGTTGGAGGACCTGGATCGCGCTCATGCTCTGATTGAGCAACTGTTGCAGTTGGTCCGCAGCCATGGTTTTGCTGTCAATGGAGCAAAATGCACTGTTATGATCAAACTTGAGGGCCAACAGGCGCAACGCGCCATCTCCAAGCACACTTATTGGCGCACCGCGCCTGACGGAACCCGTCATAAGATGTGGAGACTGGGAGAGTCCAAGTCTCACGAGGGCTTTCCACTGGTGACGTCCTTTAAATATCTCGGCGTCATGCTTTCCTTCTCCAACTTCGAGAAGGCCACTCTCAAGTTCCGCTTGCAGGAGGGCAATGTGAAATTGCAGCAGGTGCGCCGCTTTGTTCACAACAGACGAACGGCGGGGCCAGCTTCGAGGTTGCACATTTGGCATAGCACTGTCTGGGCCACAGTCGCCTCAGGATTAGTGGATGTGGGCTTGACATTAGAGACAGCTAAACTGTTGCGAGCTTGGCATGCTCGCAAAATCCGGGCCGTCCTGAACAAGCCAGCGCATTTGACACACATCTCTACAGCTGACCTCTATGCCTCCCATGAGATCATAGACCCTGTCCGTAAGCTGCAGGCGAGACAGGCTAATCGGGTCAAGCGCTTAGGTACTCGACAGCGGAAGACTCCTGCTGGGGATATTTCTTTAACTCAGCGAGCGCTCCTCCAGGCGGAAGCACTCTCTGCTAGCTATGCAGACGTTTTGCAGCAACTCTCCAAGGACACATCACAGCAGGAGGCTCCCCCGTCCTTCGTGTGCCCGACATGTGCTCAGGCCTACCGAGGTTGGTCTTCGCACCCACCAGGGCCGCAAGCATCCGGCTCGGTCATCAGATATGTCCCTCGAGGCTTCTCCCACACCCTCTCTGTAGGAGGACTCCCCAAGTGTGCTGCTTGCAACAGGCAATTCCCTCAGATGAAGGGCTTAAAGGACCACTTGTTATCAGGTGCCTGCTCGGAGCCGGCAAGGCTACAGGAGCTCGATGATGCGGCGCATCCTCCCCTGGAGTCGCAACTTCAGCCCAAGTTGCATCCCAGGCAGCAGCGTTTGCATGACACTTTGACAACACACACGGCTGTGGAGCTCGGACGATCTGATGAGTCTCAGGATCTTATGTCACATTGCTTGCTGTGTGGATTCTGGACCCCGGACAATACCAAGCTTAAGTCTCACATCCGGCAGGCCCATAAACCTGAATGGGCGGCTCATGGTGCAACAGCTGCAACTCAGAGCAGCAAATCAGGCTTGACCCTTGTTAAGGGTATGCCTTGCCCGTGCTGCCGCAAGCCTGTTACGGATAAGAGGCAGCATCCGGCACAATGTCCGATCCTTTTTCAGATTCTGTTCTATGACTTGGTTCATGCACTTTCTCGCTGCCAGGGTGGACCGCTACGCAGGTACATGCCTTCAGCTGGCACGACACAAGGTGACGCACCCCAACGGGACGCCACCACTGCTGTCGGAGCAACGCCCCAGACTCGCCAGGCAACGCCTGCAGGCCCCATGC